ATCTGGTGAAATTTGACCCTCCTACCCAATGCCCCAAACGAGGGACTTTGACTGTTCATATTTTGCATTTTGATACTTTCACAGTGAGACGTGCATTTCTGAGTTTTGTTAGCATGATTCCCAAGTGGTTTTTATGATCTGACATTCTTTCAGACTGCTCCCTGTGCTCCTCTCTCTTTCTTGTTCTTCTGCATTGTGAATCCTTCCCTCCACTCTTTTTGCCCTCTGCTGGGATCTAGCAAATGTGTTCTTCCTTGGAGGTTTGCCAGGTGTTTAGCACTGATAGCCCCTCTCTCTGCGAGGGCTGTGCAGTGCCAGGTGCTTGGAGAACAAGCCCAGGGCACTGATCAAACTGGGATTCAAAATATAGTTTCTAATGCTTTCTCATGTTCTGCTGCTGCAGTAAAAACGCCTGCCTCGCAATCTCACAGAGTCCTAGAGTCATAGACTTTAAGGTCAGAAGGGACCATTATGATCATCTAGTCTGACCTCCTGTACAACGCAGGCCACAGAATTTCACCCACCCACTCCTGTAATAAACCCCAAACCTATGTCTGAGCTATTGAAGTCCTCAAATCATTGTTTAAAGACTTCAAGGTACGGAGAATCCTCCAGTAAGTGACCCATGCCCCACGCTGCAGAGGAAGGCAAAGAAACCCCAGAGCCTCTGCCAATCTGCCCTGGAGGAGAATTCCTTCCCGACCCCAAATATGGCAATCAGCTAAACCCTGAGCATGTGGGCTAGACTCACCAGCCAAACATCCAGGAAAGAATTCTCTGTAGTAACTCAGATCCCACCCCATCTAACATCCCATCACAGACCATTGGGCATATTTATCGCTAATAGTCAAAGATCAATTAATTGCCAAAAATTAAGCTATCCTATCATATCATCCCCTCCATAAACTTATCAAGCTTAGTTTTGAAGCCAGATATGTCTTTTGCCTCCTCTGCTCCCCTTGGAAGGCTGGTTTCAGAGTAGCAGCCGTGTTAGTCTGTATTCGCAAAAAAGAAAAGGAGTATTTGTGGCACCTTAGAGACTAACAATTTTATTTGAGCATAAACTTTCGTGAGCTACAGCTCACTTCATCGGATGCATTCAGTGGAAAATACAGTGAGGAGATTTATATACATAGAGAACATGAAACAATGGGTGTTACCATACACATTGTAACGAGAGTGATCAGGTAAGGTGAGCTATTACCAGCAGGAGAGCAGGGGGGAAAAAACCTTTTGTAGTGATAATCAAGGTGGGCCATTTCCAGCAGTTGACAAGAACGCCTGAGGAACAGTGGAGGGTGGGGGTGGGGTGGATAAACATGGGAAAATAGTTTTACTTTGTGTAATGACCCATCCACTCCCAGTCTCTATTCAAGCCTAAGTTAATTGTATCCAGTTTGCAAATTAATTCCAATTCAGCAGTCTCTCGTTGGAGTCTGTTTTTGAAGTTTTTTTGTTGAAGTATTGCCACTTTTAGGTCTGTAATCGAGTGACCAGAGAGACTGAAGTATTCTTCGACTGGTTTTTGAATGTTATAATTCTTGACGTTTGATTTGTGTCCATTTATTCTTTTACGTAGATACTGTCTGGTTTGGCCAATGTACATGGCAGAGGGGCATCGCTGGCCCATGATGGCATATATCACATTGGTAGATGCGCAGATGAACGAGCCTCTGATAGTGTGGCTGATGTGATTAGGCCCTATGATGGTGTCCCCTGAATAGATATGTGGACACAGTTGGCAATGGGCTTTGTTGCAAGGATAGGTTCCTGGGTTAGTGGTTCTGTTGTGTGGTGTGTGGTTGCTTCAGGTTGGGGGGCTGTCTGTAAGCAAGGACTGGCCTGTCTCCCAAGATCTGTGAGAGTGATGGGTCGTCCTTCAGGATAGGTTGTAGATCCTTGATGATGCGTTGGAGAGGTTTTAGTTGGGGGCTGAAGGTGATGGCTAGTGGCGTTCTGTTATTTTCTTTGTTGGGCCTGTCCTGTAGTAGGTGACTTCTGGGTACTCTTCTGTCTCTGTCAATCAGTTTCTTCACTTCCGCAGGTGGGTACTGTAGTTGTAAGAATGCTTGATAGAGATCTTCTAGGTGTTTGTCTCTGTCTGAGGGGTTGGAGCAAATGTGGTTGTATCGTAGAGCTTGGCTGTAGACAATGGATCGTGTGGTGTGGTCTGGATGAAAGCTGGAGGCATGTAGGTAGGAATAGCGGTCAGTAGGTTTCTGGTATAGGAAACTTCACTCCTCTGTTGGTTAGAAACCTTCATCTAATTTCAAGTCTAAAATTCCTGATGGCCAGTTTATATCCATTTGTTCTTGTGTCCACATTGGTACCTCACTGACATACTCAAGTACTTGCTGAATTAAAAATCCTGGATTTGTCACTGAGCTCCATCAAAGTTTGCTGCCACCTTGAACCACATGACACTGGGAGGAGATGGGGGTTGCCCCGGTCCACCAGGAGGGAGCATCAAGCAGCACTGGAAGGGGAGTGGGGACTGGCACGTTTGGGGCATGGATGTGGGATTCATTATTTCAGGACATAAACCCTTGCTAGCTTCAATTTTGTGGTGCTCATGCCATTTTGAGCATGTCAGGAATAAAGCCAAGCAGGCAGAGAACTAAGGATGCTGGCCAGGAATGGACACATCCGTCCTCCCGCAGAACATTGTCTGCCTAACATGGCAGTACCCAGCCAGTACATGGATAGGAGTTGTTTACATCCCCCTATAGAGCCGGAACCTAGACAGATTATTGTAACACAGCACATAACCCTTAATGGTTGAGGCCCGTTCCGCATTGTCAAGCTGGATCTCAGGGGCTATCTCCAGCACTGGCTTTCCGTAGGTCTTTGGTTCAGCGCTTGGTGTGCCAAAGAGATCTTGGCTGTCTGGGGGAATCTCCTGAGAGTCCGTGATAGACAGGGTGCCTCTTGATGGCATGGGCAAACAATCCAGCATACAGGGGTTCCGCAGTGGGTACCCTGGCAAAAATCCAGTCCAGCTCCTCACAGTGAGTGCATGTCCTGGGAGGTCTTGGTTTTGCAATTCTGACGGAGCTCCTGGTGATGGGCCTTATCCCAAGAGTGCCCCTTCTCCTGCATATGCTGCCATAGCCACTCCTAGATCTGCGTTATGGTGATTCTTGGGTAGATGGAACTGGACATGCTTTCCATCCCATAGAAGTCCCAGACCTCTGGATGGCACCACACGGATCCATGGGGTGGTGTATGGGGTGAGCCGGGGTGTCTGATGGGGGATACTGACCTGTTCTGTACGGGATGTATGGAAGTACAGGGCATAGCTTGCTATAATGGATTGGGGGATGTGAGCTTGCCACGAGCTGTGATCGCAAAGGTGCATATTTGATCTGTGATCGCAAAGGTGCTGGTATTTAACCTAGGTGTGTGTGTGTGACATATGGTCAATATGTTCCTGGAGCAGTGGAGGGCATACAAGTCATAGAGTTTAAGGCCAGAAGGGACCATTAGATCATGTGAAGTAATTCATTATGGGAGGGCTATCTGAAGCAGTGTAGATAATCCAAAATTGGGATGCATCCACACAAACCTTACAGCTCATTCTGGAATACAGTTATGTCACTTCCAAAGCAGGGCTCTCCAGGGTTAGTCCAGGAAACTTGTGGCAGTGAAATGTGGGCACTGAGGAAGGCTGAAGAGCAGCAGAAGGATGTTTTTGATTCTTGTTGTCTTCGTCAGCTACTCCATATCAAGTGGCAGGGCAAGATTAGCAATAGGGAGATTCATAGTTGAACTGTCACCATCAGCGCAGGTTCAGGCTCAGTGGCTGTCTTGATACAGACATATTACTAGGATGGAAGACCAACAAATTATTAAGTGTGTTTACCAAGGAATGTCACTACATGGCCAGCGGTCACATGGACACCAAAAGGTTTGGTGGCGCAGGAAGACCTCTGATGATGGACACAGACTGAACATACAGCTAGACGGTCTTATGGACCTAGGTAGAGACTGAGCTAAGTGGCATGCAGTTTGCCTTTGTGGCTTACCCTTATGATGTGGATGATGGTAACTTCCAGCACAGGATAAGACATCAGATAATGATGAAAAAAGAACTTGTGTGTTTGGATGCAAGGCAGTCTGTGCCAAAAAAACTAGATCCATCAAAGAAACATCCCCACATGGAGAAGCCCTGAGAGTCTTTGCATTTCTTAATGCCCTTCATCTCCTGGGGCATGTCTTCACTGCACAGTTAGCTCTGGGTGATTGGCAGGTTGGCAGGTTGGTTAGCCCAGGTTGGCTTAGCCCAGGTGTCATGTCCTCACTGTTTCTGCACTTGCCTGTGTATGTCGATTGAGTATCCCCTGGTTCTTTGTGCTGAGACACTCAGATTCTTTCCAAGTCAGATGTGTCAGTTGCAGCAGAATTTGTCTGTCTTTGTGGGGAATTGTGTGAAGGCATTGGAGGACTATCAGCACTCAAATTATTTAGCCTGCATCCTCACTGCAAAATGGGTGGGTTCCAGCCCAAATTATACCAGAGCCTGGGTTCTAACCTATTCCCATAGTTGGATCAGCTAGCCTAGGCTTGAAGCATCTCCAAACGCAGGTCAGAGGTTTTCCTGTGTGTGGATGGGGAGAAATTGGGCTCTGTACGGGATCCATGGGGTGGTATACGGGATGAGCCGGGGTGTCTGGTGGGGGATACTGACCTGTTCTTTACAGGATCCATGGGTGGTGTATAGGGTGAGCGGGGGTGTCCGGTGTGAAATACGGACTTGCTCTGTACGGGATCCATGAGGTGGGGTATGGGGTGAGCGGGGGTATCTGGTGGAGGATACTGACCTGCTCTGTAGGGGATCCATGGGGTGCCTGGTTGGTGGGATACTGACCTGCTCTGTACAGGATTCCTGTCCCTTCTCCATCTCTGTTCTCTTCTGTCATTGGCTCTGCCCTTCCCTGCCCCCGTCCCCCTCTCTCTGGACCTGCATCATTAAAGGATTTTATTCCTTTTGTTTTTCATAGTGGGAAAATCATGTCCCCCAAATGGAAAACGTTCAAAGGCCTGAAGCTGCTGCCACGTGACAAAATTCGGCTCAATAATGCCATCTGGAGGGCATGGTACCTGCAGTGTGAGTGGGGGCTGGGGCTGCCCAGGGGCACACGGGGCTCTGGAGTCTCCCCAGAGTGGGCACAGTGCAGGCAGTGGTAGGGTGAGCTAACCAAGGAGAGCAGCTCATCATACCAGAGGGGCTGCTCAGTCTCCAGGGCTCTGAGCTGAGTGGGCGAGGCAACGCCACTTTCAGGGCAGCAAGAACCTGCTTCACTAGACAGAGCACCACATAAGGAGCTTTCAGCCACTGCCCCACCCTAGAGGGGAAAGGTCCCATGTCCATTTCCCTCCCCCCACCCCCAAGACAGCCAGTCTCCCTGCCCTGGGGCCAGATCAGAGTACGTGGGCCCTTCGAGGGGAAAGGCCCCATGTCCTATTGCATAATCCCCATGGGAGTGCTCCCTGGTCTGTGGCAGAGGAGGCTATAGCAAAGGCAACTGTTGTTTCTTGCCCCCTGCAGATGTGGAGAGGAGGAAGAACCCTGTGTGCAATTTTGTGACGCCGCTGGAGTGCAGTGACGGGGACGATCACCACAAACCAGAAGTGAGCGAATGGGGATGAGGGGCAGGGCTGGTGCAACCACTAGGCAAACTAGGCTGTCGCCTAGGGCGCCAAGTGGTTGGGGGCGGCGGTGGAGCGGAGGTAAGCTGAGGCAAGGGGGCGCGGGAGGGCTGCCTGCAGCAAGTAACGGGGGCAGCGCACAGGGGAACCGCTCCCCGCCCCAGCTCACCTCTGCTCCGCCTCCTCCCCTGAGCACCGCCCCGCTCTGCTTCTCTCCCTCCCAGGCTTGCATGCCAAACTGCTGATTGGCGCTCCAAGCCTGGGAGGCAGGAGAAGTGGCCATGTGCTCGGGGAGGAGGTGGAGCAGAGATGAGCTGGGGTGGGGAGCTGCTGCACAAGGCTCCCTGGGCCGAGGGGAGGGAGGGAGGGGGCTGCAGGGAGCTGCCACAAGGGGGGCTGCCCGGGTCGAGGGGAGGGAGGGGGTGGAGGGGATCTGCCGCAGGGGGGGGTGCCTGAGGGCGGGGGGGGGGGGAGCTAGCGCAAGGGCGGTGGGTGGCACAAGGTGGAAGTTTTGCCTAGGGCATGAAACCTCCTTGCACCAGCCCTGATGAGGGGCACTGCAAGGGGCTCCTCTCCTGCAAGAGACTTTATTGCACCAGTGACGCAGACTACTTCATAGGTCCTCCCTGCCCCCTCCCCCGTGAGGGGTGCCCCTCACTTACCCTGCCCCTCCCCTCCGAGAGAACTCTGACCAATAGTCCTAGGGTCACCTCTCCGCTCCACTCTCCCCAGATTGGGTCCTCATAAGGGCTCTCTGACATTTTTCCATCCAAACTACCTTTGGCAGAAGATGGGTTTTCCACTAAACAGAATTTTCCAAAAAAATTCTCTGCTTTGCAGGGAAATTCTGATTTTTTCATTGAAAAATGGAATGCCCAAAAATTAAAATGTGATTTGGCAATGCTGCCGCGGTGCCTTGTAGGAATTGTCCCTCAGTCTCCTCCATTGGCTGGACTCCCCAGCTGGATTACATCTTCCATTATGTACCATGGGCCAGGGACTTCCATGATGCACAGACTCCTGTCTCCAAGAGGTCAGGTTGTGATGCATCATGGGAGTTGTGATTCGGTTTCCTCATGTCCCTAGTCTCCATTCTGGGCTGCGCTCCCCAGCAGGACTACATCTCCCATGATGCACTGTGGTCAGGGATGCCCACAATGCACTGCTTCCTTTGCCAAGAGGGAAGATTTTGGTGTTCATGGGAAATGTAGTCCAACCAGGAAGGCCAGTTTATAAGGGAGAATGGAAGCACGGGGCAATCAAACTACAGTTCTCATGAGGCATGGCCATAGCATTTATTAATTGAAATATTTAATTTTATATCTGAGATTTTTTTGGTTTTTGAATTTCTGCTGAAAAATCTGAATTTTCTATGGAAACTCCCTCCCACCCCCATTTTCCGATTGGCCCTAGCCCCACCCTGCCCTTGCCTTGCAGGCCGTGATAATGGAAGGGAAATACTGGAAGCGCCAGATTGGAGTGGTCATTCGGGAGTATCACAAGTGGCGGACATACTTCTGCACACGGGTAAGACCCCACCACCACCACCCCTGCATCTCTGGTGTCCTCCCACTGCTCTGAACAGTGCCCTGCTCTGCTAGCAGGCCCAGAAGCTGCTGTCCTGTATGCCAAAGCAGATACAGCCCAGGCAGCAGTAGATGCTGTGGCCCCCAGAGCTGCTCAGTCTTCAGCCTGTCTGCTGCCACTGCCATCGAGGGAAAAGTTGGCAGCAGTGGGGGCTGGGTTCTGTGGCGTGCCCATCAGGAGTAAAACTGAGCCCCCCTCCCTCTCGGGTGTAAAATGCTTTGAGATCTCTATGCCAAGTAAGGGGAAGAGGGCACTGAGCAGTCTCCAGGTAGAGAGAAACTGCCATTACTGCCCTGCAGTCTAGGGGTGACTCAATGCCAAACTCTGGGCTTCCCTGGAATCCGTACTCCATCCATCCATCAGTCCCTTTCCCCATCCCTCCATTACTGGACAGCTGGCTGTCATCTTTGCCAGCAGCCACCCCTGCCTGCCCGCAGCCCTGTGTAGATCTCCCCAGCTGCTATAATACTAAGTTGGTGGGACCCCCCGGCTCCTGCACGATTCCCCACTTCCCTCTCAGATCACCCAAATTTACCTCCGTGATTGAGAAAGCAAAGGCTGGCTCAGTGAAATCCCAGCCTGCTGGGGATAGGGAGTGAATGGGCAAACAGCCCCATGCCAGAGGACACGATGCCCTGGACTGGTGGGCAAGGACCATGTGTTGGTTTTAAAGCTCCTGTTTGTTTAATGTTTAGGTCCAGAAGAAGAAAGATAAACCTGAGTCTTTATCTACCCATAATGACAGGTTTCAGAGGAACAGCCGTGTTAGTCTGTATTCGCAAAAAGAAAAGGAGTACTTGTGGCACCTTAGAGACTAACCAATTTATTTGAGCATGAGCTTTCGTGAGCTACAACTCACTTCATCAGATGTTTACCGTGGAAACTGCAGCAGACTTTATATACACACAGAGAATATGAAACAATACCTCCTCCCACCCCACTGTCCTGCTGGTAATAGCTTATCTAAAGTGATCAACAGGTGGGCCATTTCCAGCACAAATCCAGCACAAATCCAGGTGGGCCATTTCCAGCACAAATCCAGGTTTTCTCACCCTCCACCCCCCTGTGGGGGGTGGAGGGTGAGAAAACCTGGATTTGTGCTGGAAATGGCCCACCTGTTGATCACTTTAGATAAGCTATTACCAGCAGGACAGTGGGGTGGGAGGAGGTATTGTTTCATATTCTCTGTGTGTATATAAAGTCTGCTGCAGTTTCCACGGTAAACATCTGATGAAGTGAGTTGTAGCTCACGAAAGCTCATGCTCAAATAAATTGGTTAGTCTCTAAGGTGCCACAAGTACTCCTTTTCTTTTATCTACCCAGGTACAGATTCCTTGCTCTGTCCCTACACCTTGCAGCACCTCCTGCTGGGAGAGGCTGGCACTGGAGTAGCCCGGAGTTCCCCCCTTCCCAGCACTCCTGCCCCGCTCCCTACAGCACCCCCTGCTGGGAGCTCTCCCCCACAGCCCGAGCTCCTGACCCTGCCTTGGTACATGGCATCGGCTGCAGAGCTAGGTGGGGGACCACCTGGGCCATGGCCTAGCCACGAGTGGCACTGCAACCTGGTGCATCAAACTCAGATTTGAAGGTGGTGGATGGGCGGGTTCATAGGCCAGGGAGGTCAGGCTGGTGGAGGGGGGGGGCGGGGGAAGCACATGAGAAGGGAAGAGGAGTGGCAGGAGGACCAAATCTGTGCTGCTGCCCCCATCCACTTTAAATGGCACTCCAAAGCCCCAGCGTAAGATGCATCTGCACCTGTGTTTCCCCTCTGTGGTCCTGCAAGGGCACCCACTCTCAGCTGCACGCTTCTCAGATGCCACCTATTTTGGGTGGAGACACATATCTCCCTTGCCCTGCCTAGGGCATTTCCAGGCTGTGCAGTCCCCTGACTGTGCTGTGATATCCCCCAGCAAAGCAGACTGTCTAAACAGGCCAGCATCTGTGCTGGGCAATCTCATTAGAGATGAATAACAATGACATTGCTAGCAGTTACAAGTGATCACATGGCTTTTCTGAGCAGGCACTTTTATTCTTAAGGTAAAAGCATTACAGAGAAAACATGAAAACAATAACACAAGTTACACACTGGTAATAAGCTTACCAGAGATCACCCCAACTCCAGCAAGGGCTCTGGCCGATGATCAGTCCTCTAGACCTCACCCAGGGATATTTCTGTGGTCACCAGTTCATAGCAGCTGTCAATCAGAACTAGCTCCCCCAGGAGTTAGGGAGTCCCTCCTTTATCCCCTTTGAAGAGACCATGAATGGGTATCAGCCAGGCAATGGGTTTCTCCCCAAGGCGCCACTTCAAAATGGTAACTCCGCTAACTTGCATCCCCCCCCACCCAAGTATTTCCTAGGCAACCCACTTAACTAAAAGATCAGTCTAGTCTAGCCCATCATTTTAGAGAGTCCTTTGAGCACGTGCCACTTCCCAGGGTTTGCATTAGTCTTGTGTTCCCCTTAAAGGAGTTACATCCTCCCACAGTAATCCAGACACAGCTTTAATAATACAGCAACCTTCCAAGACACTTCACCTTAACTCAGCAAGGTTTGTTCAGGGTGCTGCTGATTATTATTGTCCCATCTGTCACAGGATCTGGGTCACCAGTTATCAGTCTGTGTCTCTCTCCTCCCCCCCCTGCGGGCAGGGAGTGGCTCATGCTGTCCCGGGTGAGGGGCTTAGCAGTGAGGCCAAGGGCAACTGCCCCATGGAGCTCGACCTGGATACCCTGGACAGCCTCATCTCTGACCTGGCCAACACCATCTTCTACAGCCGCAACCCTTATGTGGGGCCCAACCCCCGCAGCCTTGGTGAGCACTGATCAGCGTTCCTAACACAGGGGATTCCCCTCTCCATGCCCCATAGGCATTCCCCTCTCCAGGTCTCAGCCCCCTTTCCCCATCTCTCCATAGAAATTCTTGTCTCTGGATCTCTTCCCCTTCCCAGAGGGATTCCCCTCTCTGGATCTCTGCCCTGCCCCCGTGCTTCATAGGCGCTTCCTTCTCTCATTTGCATCCCCTGCCCCCCAAGTGCTAAAAGGGGATGGTCCTGAGCTCTGACCCCCCTCACCCCCGTATCCCCCAGGCATTCCTGTCTCCGGATATCTGCCTCTCTCTATCTAGGGGTGTGAATGGGCCCCCCTAGAGTCCTCATTCGCTGCCTGGCAGTCTGGTGCCTGAGGGGAGCGAGGTGGGTTGGGCAGGGCTCTGCTTTGGGCAGGATGGGAGCGGCTGGTGCTGTGTCTGACCTGCATCACCATACTGTGTTCCCCAGCTCACCAAGGCAACGCGGACATGATTCAGCCCACCCTAACCCAGCTGCATCCTAACTTTGGAGAGGATTTCATGGACACCCTGGACCCCATTCATGGTAACTTGCACTGGCCACTGTGCACGGATCCCGTCTGGGGTGAGGTTGGCTATCCTGGCGCACGGCGACGGCGGGGGGTTCCAAACACCATGCTGCCTGGTGATAGAGGGAATCAGCCCGGTGTCTCCTCCCAGACGCCCTGGGTCAGACCAGGGGCGTCCCTTCCCGGCCGCCCCCCCTGGGGCATCCCCTTCCGGCCACCTTTGGTCAGGCCAGGGGCATCCCCTCCCCTGCCGCCCTGGGTCAGGCCGGGGGCGTCCCCTCCCCACCATGCTGGAGCACACTGTTAATCTGTTGCTGGGAGGAATTGGAAATCCCCACGGGCAGGTTGTGCAGCTGAGTGCTGGCAGGCTTCGGGGGTGGGGAATGGGGTTTGGCTCTGCAGGCCTGGCATTGTCTGACGGGCTCATCAAAGGGAAGTGGCAGGGAGATTGTGAAGTGACTGTGGACAGAGAGCTGCCCCCGCAGCATGGGACACACCAGTGGAACTTTCTGCTGCAGGGCCTTGGCAGGACACCGGGGCTGTACGCCAAGGAGCCTTATCTCAGTCTTTTTCTGTCTCTCTCCCTGCACCTCGCTTGGACCCAACAGACAGCCCGGCCAGCTCTCCCTTGGGGGCCGCCAGCCCCAGCCTCCAGGAGCTCAGCTGTGCCTCCTCTGTCACCTCTAGTGCCTCTGACTCCCTGAAACTCCTCCTGTCTGTTGCTCATGTAGCCACTGCCAAGAAAGGTTCAGAGCGGGCCCTCCAAGTCTGTTTTTCCTGTTTCTGGTCCTGGGTCTGGGCCCAGATGCTGCCCAGGTTAGCTGGATGGCCACGCCCCAACTGCGAACGTCCCTGATGCCAAGGGGCAGCCAGCCGAGACTTTGGGTCCCTGCATGGACCCAGTGAAGTATCTCAGGTCAAATTTAAGCTGTGCATTCTGGGATATGTAGTGTCTCCAGGCCACCTCCCCATATTCAAGATGAGGTAATTGGGCCAGTGAGTCACCATTTCATCAAGGGGTTTGCCCATACGCTCAGAACTACCATGCACACACCACACCAACCCACAGCTGTCACCCTAGTCACCACTGCTACGGCCCCAGCCACTGCGCAGCAGGGAATCCTGTGTACCCTGCAGCCACACAGCTCTGCCGACGCCCCTCAATCCCAACCCGCAGCCCCCTGCTAGCCTAGTCCTGAGCTTCCGCCTACCCCCAGCTCTGCCGATGCCCCTCAGTCCTGACCCACAGCTCCCGCAATCCCAGCTCCGGGGTCCCCCAAGTCTGAGCTCTGTAGCTGCCATTTGTACCAAGTGTTGTGATGTAATTATAATCATTCCTATTATGGTTATTCTGCTCTGATTTATCCAGGTCCTTTGCATTTTCTCTCTCTCTCTTCCCCCTGCCCTCATCTCTCCACCCCCTTTCAGCCTTTCTTCTTTGTCACAAATAGTTCATGCTTTTTCTCTTTCCCTTCACAGATTTCTTTGCTGCCTGTTGCACCCAGCCTGTGACCCAGGTGAATAGAAGTAGCAGCTGCCCTCTGACTGCTCAGCAATGCCCCCGCCCTCTGTCTGTAGAGATCACCTGGCACCACATTGCAGCCTATGCTTTGCCTTCACTGCAAGGTCTATGACCTCCTCCCTGGTGTCACAGCACCCCTCCTCTGGGGAGGGCAGGGCTGGGTGGTGCAGACCCCTCCCTGGTGTCACAGCCCCCCCTGCTGGGAGGGCAGGGCTGGGAAGAGCCGGCCCCTCCACCTTGCCTGCTGTCACAGGCCCCCTGCTAGAAGTTCAGGGCTGGGCGGTACAGGCCCCTCCTCCTGGCCTAGTGTTGCAGTGATAGGGAAAAAACCCCAGAAAACGACCCTATAATCATGTAAAGCTACGCTGCTGTCTTTTTCTCTAGCTTATCTGTCCTTTCTACTTTGTTTATGGATAGAAAGAATGTGAACTGTGTGTAACCTGCACTCCCTGCTTTTGGGGAGAGAATTCCTTATACAGATAAGCCTCCATGCTCCTACCTACCCCAGAACTTCAAACAGACTGGGTTAACCGGTTCGAACTGGAAGAGATATCACAATGTATGTTGAACCAAGCTATAAAAGCTCATCCCTGTTCTTTGTTCGGGGCTTCACCATTTTCCTCTGAAAAGGAATTGGTGAGCCCTTCAGCTGTCGTATTTGCTAGCAATAAAGTGCCTCACTTTATCAAAGAGCCAAGACTCTGTGTTTTGTTTGGCTAATACAGAAGTCCAGGGAAGGCTACCCTCCTAACCCTAGATGGGAGGGGAACCCTTTTTCCCTAACAGCAGGCCCCCTGCTGAGGAAGGTAAGGCTGATTTTCTCTCCCTCTTTCCCCCAGGCTTCCACGCTGCTGCCAGCTGCTGCCCCACTGGTCTCTCTGTCCAGCACTTGTGACCCGGACATGACCACCAGCACTAAGGAGCTGCCTCTCCACAGGAGCTCTCTCACCTCCCTTTCCTTCCCCCTGGATCTGGAGCCCCTCACACCCCTGAACGGGCACCAGACCTTCCTGCCGCTCTTCCCCACCTCCCCGCTGCGGGTCAGCCTGCCCCCGCCCAGCCCTCCCACGCAGCACCCCCAGCCCACCCTTGTCTTCTCCGTCATCACCCACACAGCTGCTGAAAAGCCCCCTTCACCCACCCGACACCCTCCTTCACCCCGGGGCACCTTTGCCATGCCTGCATCTGGACCCCTGCCCAATGGGGCAAGGTCCCGGCAACTGCAGCCCATTGCCCCAGCGCCTACTGCCACCCACCCCCCAGCAGTCCCCAGTGCCTTCCTTACCCGCCTGCTCGTAGCAGGTATGTGCTTGTGTGGGCAGCGCAGCCTGCCTGCCTGGCACTTGGGGAGGGGCTGTTGTGGTGGGATGAAGGGGAGTGGATGTGGGGAGAGTGGGCACAGGGGCATTGCTTTTAGGGGCAGGCAGGTGGGGATGGGTGTGTGGGGCAGGGGAACTTGGCATGCCTGCGGGTGTTGCTGTCACAGGTCAGTGTGGGGGGAAATTGCTCTGGGGGGCTGGGCACAGAGGGTTGCTGTTGGGGTGGGGGACCAGGCACTGAGGGGGGGAGTTGGCAGGGGGCTGAACATAAGGGGTATTGCTGGTGTGGGGGTACAGGGGAGGGCGGTTGGGTGGGGGAGAAACAATGGAGTTGCTGGTGGGAGGAGTGGGTGGGGGTGTCCACAGTACAGGGGAGCCTCTCCCCCCGCCCCCCTCAGATGGCCATCGCAAGACCCAGGGCTGGAGAGACACTGCCCTGGGTGGCTACCTAGGAGCTGTGGTCTCTGTGGGTGAGCCTCACTCCTCCTCTACCCACTTTCTTTTTCCCCCAGGCCCATCGCCACAGCCCCTCACTCCAGCCAGGGACTCTTCCCAGGTAAGAGCACCTCCTGCTGGAGAGGGTGGGGCTGGGCAGTGCAGGCTCCTCCCCCTCTCTGGTGTCGCAGCACCCCCTGCTGTGGAGGGCTGGGCTGGGCATCTATAAGCTCCTCCCCCTCCCTGATGTCACAGCACCTCCTGATGATGAGTCATACAATTTAAATCCACATAGGAATCACTCCGCTAACGCTTCTGGGTTTAGTGGTGCCTTACTCTCCCCCCAGTGCTTGTGGCTGAGGCAGATTTCTGTCCTCCCTTGCTGACTCCCTCCTCGTCTCTCCCCTCTAGGTCTGCGCCCCCCTGGAGCTCCCTGCAGGTGTTCTGCTGATGGAGAATCCCATCCACCCTTGCTCTGTCATTGCCTCCTCCAGCACGGGTAAGATGGGGGGGTGCTGCTCTCAGGCCCCTCATCACATGGGCTCTCGCTGTGGGTGCTTGGCTCTCGGGGGTGACGGGACAGGGGTGATGGGGCTGGGGAAGAGCATCAGGCTGGGGTGGGTACGAAGAGGGAAGGGGCAGGGTGGTGGTTGGCTCATAAGTATCTAGGGAGTGGGAACTTGGTGGGTTCACAGGTGGCTGAAGAGAGGGCGTGTTGAGGGGATGGCATGATGGGGGGGCTGACTGGGGGGATGACAAGGTCAGGGACTGGCTGGGGGGGACCTGGAGGGATGGCTGGGGGGGACCTGGCTGGAGGATCTGGGGAGCTGGCTGGGGGGACCTGGGGTGATGGCAAGGTGGGGGCTAGCTGGAGACTCTGAGGGGACAGGAAGGTTGGCGGGCTGGCTGGGGGGACCTGAAGGGCTGGCAAGGTGGAGGCTGGCTGGGGGATCGGGGGGAATGGCAAAGTGGGGGGCTGGCTGTGGGATCTGGAGTGATGGCAAGGTGTGGGGCTGGCTGTGGGATCTGGAGTGATGGCAAGGTTGGGGGCTGGACGGGGGATCTGGGGTGATGACAAGGTGGGAGCTGGCTGGGGGATCTGGGGGGTTGGCTCGGGGGGGCTGGCTGGGACACCTGTTTGTGTGTGGAGGGGGTTGGCTCCGGGGAATGGGGTGACTAGGGGGTGGCTCACCCTGCATTGCCTGCTGGTGTGGGGCCCGGACTGTCCAAATTTGGGGATGCCAGCTCAGTGGCACTAATGGGTGATCACATCCAAGAAAGCCAGGTCTGTGGGTCAGAGGCTGGTTTGGCCCCAGACTGGCACTGATCTGGAATGTGCCATTCTGGGGACGAAGTGGGGAGCCTGCAGTTTTAGGCTCCTCCCCATGGCGAGGGTGGCCCTGGGGAGGGTTCACGGCATCACTGATCTGGGGGTGGATCCTGGGAGTGTGGGGCCTAGAGCCTTCTCTCCTCCACATGAACAGACCTCTGCTCCTAGAAGGGGACTGGGAGCTGAACCCACTTGGGCAGTGTCTGACAGGTTCCCTCAATAGCACATGTGCCCAGAAGTGCTGGGGTGGGATGGCTCACCCACGGTGCCCTACTGGGCTCTGGGGAGCAGCATCAGGATCTTGCCCACACGAGCGACCCGAATCATAGAATGTCAGGGTTGGAAGGGACCTCAGGAGGTCATCTAGTCCAGTCCCCTGCTCAAGGTAGGACCAATCCCCAACTAAATCATCCCCACCAGGTCTTTGTCAAGCCTGACCTTAAGAACCTCTAAGGGTATGTCTACACTACGAAATTAGGTCGAATTTATAGAAGTCGGGTTTTTAGAAATCGTTTTTATATAGTTGATTGTGTGCCGACACAAAATGCTCTAAGTGCATTAAATGCATTAACTTGGCAGAGTGCTTCCATAGTACCGAGGCTAGTGTCGACTTCCGGAGCGTTGCACTGTGGGTAGCTATCCCACAGTTCCCGCAGTCTCCACCACCCATTGGAATTCTGGGTTGAGATCCCAATGCCTAATGGGGCAAAAACATTGTCGCTGGTGGTTCTGGGTACATGTCATCAGGCCCTCCCTCCCTCCCTCCGTGAAAGCAATGGCAGACAATCGTTTTGTGCCTTTTTTCCTGTGCAGACTCCATATCACGGCAAGCATGGAGCCTGCTCAACTCACTGTCACCATACATCTCCTGGGTGCTGGCAGACACGGTACTGCATTGCTACACAGCAGCAGCCCATTGCCTTGTGGCAGCAGACGGTGCAATAGGCCTGATGACCATCGTCATCATGTCCGAGGTGCTCCTGGCCACCTCGGTAAGGTCAGTCAGGAGCACCTGGGCAGATATGGGCGCAGGGACTAAAATAGGAGTGATTCGACCAGGTCATTCTCTTTAGTCCTGCCAGCAGTCCTATTGCACTGTCTTCTGCCGAGCAGGCAGGAGATGAGGATGGCTAGAAGTCCTATTGCACCATCTTCTGCTGAGCAGCCAGGAGATGGGGATGGCTAGCAGTCCTACTGCACCGTCTGCTACCAGCCAAAAGTAAAAGATAGATGGAGTGGATCAAAACAAGAAATACACCAGCTTTGTTTTGTATTCATTTGTTCCCCCCTCCCTCCCTCCGTGAAATCAATGGCCAACAATCGTTTCGGTGAGGTCTGTCAGGGGCACCTTGAAAAGTTGAATGGGGATTCAGTCCTGCCTGAAATACCAGGGGGAAAGATAGCTCAGTGAGTTGAGCATTGGGTTGAGCATTGGCCTGCTAACCCCAGGGTTTTGAGTTCAATCCTTGAGGGGGCCATTCTGTGTGACAGTTGTTTTTGTTTCTCCTTGATGTGAAGCCACCCCCTTTGTTGATTTTAATTCCCTGTAAGCCAACCCTGTAAGCCATGTCGTCAGTCACCCCTCCCTCCGTCAGAGCAATGGCAGACAATCGTTCCGTGCCTTTTTTCTGTGCAGACGCCATACCATGGAGCCTGCTCAGATCACTTTGGCAATTAGGAGCACATTAAACACCACGCGCATTATCCAGCAGTATATGCAGCACCAGAACCTGGCAAAGCAAAACCGGACAAGTAGGCGATGTCAGCACAGTGACGAGAGTGATGAGGAGATGGACGAAGACTTCTCTCAAAGCACGGACCCTGGCAATGTGGGCATCATGGTGCTAATGGGGCAGGTTCATGCGGTGGAACGCCGATCCTGGGCCCAGGAAACAAGCACAGACTGGTGGGACCGCATAGTGTTGCAGGTCTGGGACGATTTCCAGTGGCTGCGAAACTTTCGCATGCATAAGGGCACTTTCATGGAACTTTGTGACTTGCTTTCCCCTGCCCTGAGGCTCAAGAATACCAAGATGAGAGCAGCCCTCACAGCTGAGAAGCGAGTGGCAATAGCCCTGAGGAAGCTTGCAATGCCAGATAGCTACCGGTCAGTCGGGAATCAATTTGGAGTGGGCAAATCTACTGTGGAGGCTGTTGTGATGCAAGTAGCCCATGCAATCAAAGATCTGCTGATATCAAGGGTAGTGACCCTGGGAAATGTGCAGGTACTAGATGGCTTTGCAGCAATGGGATTCCCTAACTGTGGTGGGGCCAAAGACGGAACTCATATCCCTATCTTAGCACTGGAGCACCAAGCTGGCGAGTACATAAACCGCAAGGAGTACTTTTCAATAGTGCTGCAAGCACTGGTGGATCACAAGGAATGTTTCACCAACATCAACGTGGGATGGCCGGGAAAGATACATGACGCTCGTATCTTCAGGTACTCTGGTCTGTTTCAAAAGCTGCAGGAAGGGACTTTCTTCCCAGACTAGAAAATAACTGTTGGGGATGTTGAAATGCCTGTAGTTATCCTTGGGGACCCAGCCTACCCCTTAATGCCATGGCTCATGAAGCCATACACAGGCAGCCTGGACAGAAGTCAGGAGCTGTTCAACTTCAGGCTGAGCAAGTGCAGAATGGTGGTAGAATGTGCATTTGGACGTTTAAAAGTGCGCTGGCGCAGTTTACTGACTCGCTTAGACCTCAGCGAAACCAATATTCTCACTGTTATTACTGCTTGCTGTGCGCTGCACAATATCTGTGAGAGTAAGCGGGAGACGTTTATGGTGGTGTGGGAGGTTGAGGCAAATCGCTGGCCGCTGGTTACGTGCAGCCAGACACCAGGGTGGTTAGAAGAGCACAGGAGGGTGCGGTGCGCATCAGAGAAGCTTTGAAAACCAGTTTCATGACTGGCTAGGCTACAGTGTGAAAGTTCTGTTTGTTTCTCCTTGATGAACAACCCCCCCCCCCCCCGGCCCCTTGGTTCACTCTACTTCCCTGTAAGCTAACCACCCTCCCCTCCTCCCTTCGATCACAGCTTGCAGAGGCAATAAAGTCATTGTTGCTTCACATTCATGCATTCTTTATTAATTCATCACACAAATAGGGGGATAACTGCCATGGTAGCCCGGGAGGGGTGGTGGAGGGGGGAAGGACAAGGCCACACAGCACTTTAAAAGTTTAAAACTTATTGAATGCCAGCCTTCTGTTGCTTGGGAAATCCTCTGGGGTGGAGTGGCTGGGTGGCCGAAGGCCCCCCCCCCCCACCGTGTACTTGGGCATCTGGGTGAGGAGACTGTGGAACTTGGGGAGGAGGGTGGTTGGTTACACAGGGGCTGTAGTGGTGGTCTGAGCTCCTGCTGCCTTTCCTGCAGCTCAACCATACACTGGAGCATATTTGTTTGATCCTCCAGCAGGCTCAGCATTGAATCCTGCCTCTTCTCATCATGCTGCCGCCACCTATCAGCTTCAGCCCTCTGTTCAGCCCACCACTTACCCTCTTCAGCCCGTCACCTCTCCTCCCGGTCATTTTGTGCTTTCCTGCACTCTGACATTATCTGCCTCCATGCATTCGTCTGTGCTCTATCAGTGTGGGAGGACAGCATGAGCTCAGAGAACATTTCATCGCAAGTGCGTTTTTTTCACCTTCTAATCTTTGCTAGCCTCTGGAAAGGAGAAGATCCTGTGATCCTTGAAACACATGCAGCTGGTGGAGAAAAAAAAAGGGACAGTAGTATTTAAAAAGACACATTTTATAGAACAATGGGTACACTCTTTCATGGTAAACCTTGCTGTTAATATTACATACATAGCCCATGTGCTTTCATTACAAGGTCACATTTTGCCTCCCCCGACCACTTGGCTAAACCCTCCCCTATCCCCGTGACTAACAGCGGGGAACAATTCTGTTCAGCTACAGGCAAACAGCCCAGCAGGAACGGGCACCTCTGAATATCCCCTTAAGAAAAGCACCCTATTTCAACCAGGTGACCACGAATGATATCACTCTCCTGAGGATAACAGAGAGATAAAGAACGGATGTTGTTTGAAAGCCAGCGAACATATGCTGCAATGCTTTGTTCTGCAGTGATTCTCAACTACGTGCTACTGGCCTGGTGTGGTAAAGTGTCCTGCCATGGTGGACGGAATAAGGCTGCCCTTCCCAG